AGGGGTGGGCGGTGAAGGCCGGACCCAGCTGTGAGGAGGGTGCTGGAGAGAAGCCAGCTCCATCCAAAGTGTGTGTGAGGGGAGCTGGGGGGAGGCCAGGGGCACTTCCATTTTTGAGAATACCAATGTGTTTTCAAACAAACAAACAGAAAACCAGCCAGGGTTATCAAAATAATTGTGCTAAAGGTTGAACTCATATGGCAAGCATTTTTGAACTTCATTCCTGTCCCTGTGTCTTTGTAACTGGGTGCACGACCTCATTTGGAGATAACAAAAAATAGGAACGGGAAGTCCTCTATGGCTGTGAGGCTCCGCACACCCACCCCAGCCAGAGAGAGAGGCCAGACTCCCCACTTAGACTGGCTGAACCTGGACCCTGCCCAGCCTCCTCCTCCAGGAAGGCCATGAGGATTAGCCACGTGGTCCAGGGAAAAGGACTCCTCACTGGCCACCTCTGACTTTGCTCTTCTTCTAAAAGGAAAGAGGGAAAAGGTGACCCCAAATGGGAGATGTCAAATTCTCTTGACTTCTTTCCGAGTGGCTGACCTTAGTGAGTCCCTTCACAGATTCCCAGGATCAAGTATGTGTGTGTGTGTGTATGTGCACGTGCATAGGGTGTGTGTGGTAAACCAGCAACCATGTCCGCCCCCTTACCTCGGTTTCCCCACCTGAGTCATGGGCATGAGAGATGCTCCCACACCAAGGGCTGCTTGGGGGACTAAAGAGATGCTATCCAGGCACCCTGGCACCAGCTGGGTCCCAGCAGGTGGTAATTATGAGGTGATGTGTCCACAGGTTGGCCTTGGGTTTGGCCTGAGGTTGACTGGGGTGGGTGCTCCCAGTCTCCAGCACCCTCCCATCTAATCCCCAGTCATCTTGGAGCTGGATCCTGGGCAGGGAGCTGGGCAGGAGGGCACCGGCATAGCTTAGAGTGAGCCCTGGTCCTGGGGGCCCAGTCTAGCCTCTCTGGGTCTCAGTTTCGCTATCGATGAAATTAGGGGCATCTGCCAGAGCCTTGGAGAGAAGTTGCAAGAGAAGAGCCCAGAGTGGGGAAGCGGTGGGGGGCTTGGCCCTGCCTGCGGCTGCCAGGACTCCCCAAGTCAGGTTAGGCAGACACAGCCTTCTGACACAGGAGAGTGTCACTATGTGTCCCCAGGGGACCCTGGGAGAGGGTCCAAGGGGAACGAGAGGGTAAGACTTCCAGAACTATTTCTCAAATCCAAGGGGAATTTCTCCCATTGTAATTTACTGGAATGTGGGGGAAGGCCATGGGCTCCTCCCACCTCACTTGACCATCACTTAGGATCCAAGAAGAGGCTGGTCTAAGTGACTCCAGCAAGTCTGTCCCCAGGCCCCCTAACATCCGGCCCCATCTCAGGGAGCTGACAGCAGGGGCAGGCTGACTCTGGGATCAGGCCCGAGAGAGGGCCCTTGACAGTATGATCACCCCTCCCTCCCTTCCTCCCCACTCCCCCCTGCCTTCTGGAACTCCTTGTCTCCTGAAGTGAGCGGTGCCAATGTGGGCCTTTTGTCTCCACATCTGGCCCTCACCTTCCTCTATCTGGCCCCAGCTGACAGCCTGGAGCTGGGGTGAGGAATATCGGAATCATTGGGCCTGGCCCCGCCAAGGCATTAGGATGAGTTAATGAAATGTTTGACCAAACATAGCAGGCTAATTTTTAGGTTGATAATTTTGTATGGCCAGGAATGATGCTATAAATATGCAAATGGCCCTTGGCAGAAGGTTCCCCACCTGGAAAGGGACAAAGCCGACCCTGACTTGGGGAGAAAGGTTCAAACCCAGCTCAGCCACCACCATCCTTGGGGAGCCTTGGACAGGTTGCTTCTCATCCCACAGCCTCACCTGTGGCCGAGGGGGATTGGTATCCACATGACAAGACTGTTCTGCGCGTTATAAAGAGCCTGCCGCCCTGACCGGTTTGGCTCAGTGGATAGAGCGTCAGCCTGGGGAGTGAAGGGTCCCAGGTTCGATTCTGGTCAAGGGCATGTACCTTGGTTGCGGGCACATCCCCAGAAGGGGCTGTGCAGGAGGCAGCTGATCGATGTTTCTCTCTCATCGATGTTTCTAGCTCTCTATCTCTCTCCCTTCCTCTCTGTAAAAAATCAATAAAGTATATTAAAAAAAAGAACCTGCCAAGTGCCTGGCCCATAGTAGGTATTCAATACCTTGTAATAGTGATGCTGTTCTCAGGATGGGGCCTTTCTGGGTCCAGCACACCTCTGTGGCGTCTGAGTCTGGCCCCCTGTGTGAGGTCTCCATCCCCAGTGCCCTGTTGGCCGTCACTAACCTTCTGCCCATTTTACTACAGATGCTGTGACTGACAAGGTGCTGGGTGTGGCGCTGGGTGTGGGGGAAGGAGACAGACGTGGAGGAGGCCAGGGCGTCTGGCTGGGTGGGGCTGGGAGAACGGGCTGGAGGGCCCCAGAGGCCCACGCTGGGACTTGCTGGGAATCTGTCTCCGGTTTTTGGGGAGCTGGCCCGGCACTGGGGA